CTCCTCCTCCTCCTCCTCCTCCTCCTCCCTGCAAGCTTCACTCTCTTCTAGCCCTGATGACATTCCCTAGTTGGGTCATAAAATGTCTGCAAGATATCAATGAAGCTCAGAGAGAAACCAAAGGCCCCACAAACCACCACCTCTCCCTCCTAGCACTGATGACGTTGCCTAGTTGGGTCATGGAACATCGGGCAGAAAACAGCCAAGCTCAGAGCGACCAGGAGCCCAGAATCCTCCTGCTTCTTTTGACCCACGGTTTAAGAATTCCCCCCTTCCCTTTCTTTCCTCTTTTTTTTTCCCCTTCCTCAGCTCCCTTCAGCCCCCAAAAAATGACGCCGCCTTCCCCTGCATCGGTCATCTAACGCTCGCCTTGATGAACGCAGTCTTTGGCGCCATACCCATCCTTTTCAGGAACCCGTCGGTCTACGGCTTGTCCCGCATCACCAACAGCCTCTTCATCAGCAATGGCGAGGCGGCGAACAACAAACTCTTCCTCTACGCTAACCGCATCACCACCGTAATCAACGCCACGGTGGAAGTGGTCAACACTTACTTCCCAGACATTTACTACATCCACGTCCCCGTCCTGGACTACCCCTCCGCCCGCATTTATGACTTCTTCGACCCCGTAGCCGATAAGATCCAGGCGGTCGACCGGAATCAGGGCCGGACCCTAGTGCACTGCGCCGCTGGGGTCAGCCGCTCGGCGGCCCTGTGTATCGCCTACCTGATGAAGTACCACTCCATGTCTTTGTACAACGCCCACGATTGGGTGAAATCCTGCCGTCCCGTCATCCGTCCCAATCTCGGTTTCTGGGAACAACTGGTAGAATACGAGTATCACCTCTTCGGGAAAAACAGCGTCAAAATGATTCAGTCCCCTATAGGCCGCATCCCTGACCTCTACGAAAGCGAGGTTAGAGTCATGATTTCGATGTGAGGGGCGCAGCGTGGGAGCGCACCCCCCCTTTTCCAAGCCGAGGCGCCGCGCGAATCCACGCGTGACCTTGGCTGGACTTTGAAACCGTCGTGCCAAAGTGGGGGCTGGCAACCACTTTTGGCCCAGAAAGGGGGGATTTTTTTTGTTTTAAAACCGGGGTGTTATGTCCTGCGTGTTTTTTCTTTCTGTTCAATTAAAATAAAATAAAAAAACCATGGATGTGGGAAGGGTAAAAAAAAAATTATATATACGACACCATTCGATGATTTGACTCCTTCTTGACTAGGAATAAATCCTGCAGTTCGGCTGTTTGGAGAAATGTGGCTCTTTTGGGGGAAGGGGGAAGAGGGGATGGGCTCAAGCATAGCAACCGGTGGGAGCCGCCGAGTTTTTAGGAGAGATCCTTTAAAAAACACACACACACAAAAACCCTTGGATGAATTTTCGTTATGTTTTCCCAGCCAAATTTCCAGGAAAACAGCCGGCAGGATTGGTAACTTCTGAAATTGTCTCCTGCTTAGAAGGAATTTGATCTGGGTCTCCAGTCTTGTTGGCCACTTTAGGACGAAATATTCTCCGATAATCGGTTTACTTGGGCATGTAGCATTTTTACGTTATTAAATCATTTCAACTTAAAAATCTATTTAGGCTCCTTGTTTTTCATGGCTTCATTGACAAACAGTCCTCTCCTCCTCCTCCTTCCGATTTTCCATGGTATTTCTCCCCTAAGAGGAGACCCCAGGGGTCCTGGGGGAGGTGGCATTCACCAGGAAAGTTTCTGGGGACTCCAGAATTTGGATTTTATTATATTTATATGCCGTCCTTTTCCCCTGAATGGGACTCAGGGCGGCTCACAATTTAAATCAGGGAAGGGGGGTACAGACAAAAAATAAAAATAAAAAAACAACGAAACATAACAATGCATAGTTTAAAAACACACAACAGTCATACCATTCGAGACGGGGGCA